GGAGGTGGGGGGCGGCCGGGCGCGGCCTGGGCGGGAGGAGGGCGCGCGTGGTGCGACCACTGAGCTCCGAGGCGTGAGCAGTTCGTGTGGGAGCGGGGGCTTTGTGTGCAGGGAGCGATGTGAATTGTGTGTGCGGTGCGTGCAGCGAGCCGTGTGGTGTGTGGTGTGTGTGCAGGGAGTAGTGTGCCGGGCCTGCAGTCAGCAGCGTGTGCGGTGGGAGCCCAGAGCGTGCTTCCAGGGGTTGGGGTGCGAGCGGGGGTGCGCCCAGAGCGTGTGTGGAGTAAGCCAGCGCTTATCTGTGTGTCGTCAGCCCCCTCCCGGGAGTCTGTGAAGGCAGACCTAAGCCGTCCTCATTTGCTCACCCATTCGTGCTGTAAAGGCCAGCAGTGCCCTGTCAGGCATGGGGCACAGACGCGTGATTTGGGCGGAGGGATGCCAAGTGCAGTGAACAATGAAATAAGCATTACGGTAGCTGAGCTCCGACTTGGCTTGGCCTCGGGGTGGCCCAGGGTCAGTTCTGCTCAGAGAGCGGGTGTCAGGGAAGGGAAGCCTGAATCCAGGTCTTGGAAGAGGAGCGGGGTTTTCCAGGGAATGAGACAGAAAGCCCACTGCAGGCCGCGGACAGCTAGGCGAGGCGTGTGTCGCTCTGAGCTGGTGGGCTCTGTGCCCATGGTGGTGGGGATGGGATCTGTGTGGCTGGCGAGAGGAGTTCTGTGCTGAGGGGGGTGATCCGCGTGAGGCCTGAGCCGCAGAGGTAAGCAGGACTTGGTTTTGTGCGAGCGTTCACTCAGCCCAGGAGGATGCCTTTCCCTGCCTTATTTTTACCCGAGCAGTTTCGATACAAGAGGCGAGTGTATGCCCAGAACCTCATCGATGATAAGCAGTTTGCCAAGCTTCACACGAAGGTAAGGAGGCAGCCATGCGGCTTCGGCTCAGCCTATTTTGTCCTGTGGTCAGGGGCCCAGAGCAGGGGTTGGGGCTGGAGGGCTGGGCAGACTCCAGGCCTCACGGGTCTGGGGTAGGTGGTCTGGTGCTGGGTTCTGGTAGGATCAGAACCTCTGGCCCACCCTGGCTCAGGAGGATGGAGTGCGATGGGGCACATGCCTTGGTGAGAACCTGGGGCGGGGGAGGGGAGAGAAGTGAACAAGCACCACCATGGTCACTGGGGGAGAGGGGATCACTCCGTGGTCACCAGGGCTGGGCACTTGGAATCAGGCATCTCGTTAGTTCCCTCCGGGCAGGGACTGTCACCCTGTGTGGCACAGGAAGGTACTGAGTCCTGAGCAGTTAAGTGACTTGCTCATTGTGCAGCCAGTGAAGCTGGTCTGAACCCACATCTGTCTGACTCTGGGGCCTGGGCCGGGACACCCCTGTGGGTCACTACCGGATGCCATTGCTAGGGGGCACCTTGCTGCTTCCTCTGAATGCGCGAGGGGCAGGGTAGTGCTATGGGCCCTCCCCACAGGTGGACCCCCTGAGCTCCCACCTCAGGTTCCCATGAGCCAGGGGATGTTTGCTTGCTGGACACTTCTCTGGAGCCTAGACGAGCTCCAGTGACCCCTCTGTGTCCCAGTGACCCCTCCGTGACCTTGGCGTCTCCATGCCAGACTTCTCTGCTGCCCAGAGCACGTGGTGGTCAGCGACGTGACTCTGGCTGCAGAGACTATTGGGGCCACTTTGTGACCCTGTTACCCCGGTTCCTCCCATGGTTACTTCTCCTCCAAAGTCCCACAGGATACTGGTAACTCCTTTACTTTTTTTTAAATATATTTTTATTGATTTCAGAGAGGAAGGGAGAGGGAAAGATAGATAGAAGCATCAATGATGAGAGAGAACCATTGATTGGCTGCCTCCTGCATGCCCCACACTGGGGATTGAGCCTGCAACCTGGGCATGTGCCCTGACAGGAATGGAACTGTGACCTGGTTCATAGGTCGATGCTAACCACTGAGCACCGCTGGCCAGGTGACACTGGTGACTCTTGCTCTTCAGTGAGCCCTCCTTGTTTTTGGGATGAGTTTCAACCTCATACCACGGCCCTGTGTCTCCTCCTGCCTGGGCTCCAGCTGCCCCACCCTGACACCACCCACCCTGGATCCGGCTGAGGCCTCTCCCTCAGTCGTCCTGAGCAACCTGAGGAGGCCCCTCCTGTGGAGTGGTCCCCGTGGTGCCCTCACCCATTTCTGGTGTGCTTGTGTGTTTCCAGCCGGGCACCTGCCTGTGCACGAAGCTTCTGTAGCAGCAGGGACTCGGGGGCTTTGCTGGGCAAGGTCCTGGCACAAGCGGGGCCACCTGCGGGTGGAGAAGACCCTGGGAGGTCTGCCAGGGGGCGAGCACATGTGGAATATGGGCCAGGGAAGAAACAGACCATCTTAGACCCCCTAACAGAGCCCTGATGGGGATGGGGGGTGGGTGGGCTGGTCCTTGCCTGGGTGGCCTTGAGGCGCTAGTATCAGGCGAGGAGCCGGGGCAGCGTGGATGCTCCCCAGGAGGCCTGAATCTGGCTGTTGGAAGGTGGGTGACGGTGATGATGGTGGTTGTGATGGGGCTGACCAGGATGGCCGGGTGTTCCAGGCGAACCTGAAGAAGTTCATGGACTACGTCCAGCTGCACAGCACAGACAAGGTGGCCCGCCTGCTGGACAAGGGGCTAGACCCCAATTTCCACGACCCTGACTCAGGAGGTAAGAAGCAGTGGGGGAAGGGGCATGGCTCTGGAGTGGCTGGAACATAACCTTCCTCTGTCCCTTGAACCTAGAGTGTCCCCTGAGTCTGGCGGCCCAGCTGGACAACACCGCGGACCTGCTGAAGGTGCTGAGGAATGGTGGTGCCCACCTGGACTTCCGCACACGCGACGGGCTCACTGCTGTGCACTGTGCCACGCGCCAGCGGAACGCGGCGGCTTTGACGGTTAGTACTGGCAGGGCCGGGTCTGCAGGGGCATGTGGACCAAGATGGGGAGGAAGTTGGGTCCAGCGTGGACACTGAGGCTCCTCGTCCTCAGACCCTGCTGGACCTGGGCGCTTCACCTGACTACAAGGACAGCCGTGGCCTGACGCCCTTGTACCACAGCGCCCTTGGGGGCGGGGACGCCCTCTGCTGTGAGCTGCTCCTCCACGACCATGCTCAGCTGGGGACCACTGATGAGAATGGCTGGCAGGAGATCCACCAGGTGGGCAGGGAGCCCTGTCAGGGGGTGAGGTCCTGGGCTCTGTCGGGCGTAGGGGCATTTTCGGCTCTCTCTGCAGGAGTTGGGATTCCAGCCCCTCTGCAAGCGTGGGGGTCCCGGGCTCTGTCAGAGGCCCAGCAGCACCCCCCTCTTCCCCTAGGCCTGCCGCTTTGGGCACGTGCAGCACCTGGAGCACCTCCTGTTCTACGGAGCTGACATGGGGGCCCAGAATGCCTCGGGGAACACGGCCCTGCACATCTGTGCCCTCTACAACCAGGTGTGACTGTAGGTGTACACGTGTGTGTGGGTACGGGTGATCCCGTGCAGTGACTACATGTGTGTACACGTCTGATCCGGTGTCCCTCCATGCTTGCTTGTTCTGCGTCTGCAGTGAGCTGTGGCCCTGCAGGCCTACGTGTGCATGTCTGTTTCCTGAACACACGTGTGTTCTGAATCACAGGTGTGCATTGTGTGCATCTGGGCCTCCTGGGCCAGATGGGACCTGGTGTGTACTCCTGCCCTGCTCCTCTCATGCCATGCATGTATGCTCTGAATGTGTGGGTGTGTGCTGTCACCCCATGACCCTCACTCCCACACTGCCAACAGGAGAGCTGTGCTCGTGTCCTGCTTTTCCGCGGCGCCAACAAGGATGTCCGCAATTACAACAGCCAGACCGCCTTCCAGGTACCAGAATGCGCAGGAGTGAGAAGCCGCTCCCGGGGTGTCTGTCTCTTTGTGGCTAGACCTCTCTGGATCTTGGTTCTTCCCTGAGGCAATCTCCCCCGGGTGGGGTGGGGGACCGGGTGGCCAGCAGTGGGGGACTGACTGATGGGGGTGGTCACCGTGGTTGGTGAACTCTCACTTTCTGGGACAGGCGGGTCAGAGGGCTCTGGGGCCAGGGGAGAACAGGGGTGGGTCTGACCTTCCACAGACAGGAGGGTGCAGAGGTGACAGGGGTCAGAAGGGTGGTCCCAGCTCCTGACTAACTTAGGTATGTTTCTGAGTCCTTTCTCTGGCCGGGTTTGGTTCTCGGCACCGGATGACTAGATGGAGGGGTGTCCATGTCGCCTGAAATGTGTGGGAGGAGTTGGGGACCATGGAGAGAGCTGGGGCCTACCGAGGAGATGTAGGGAGAGCAGATCAGGCCACCGTGCTATCCAGCAGGACCAGATGCAGGGGCGAGGGAAGGGCAGAGGGAGGGTGACAGGAGGGAGGCAGTGGGGAGCCATGGCTCAGACAGGAAAGGTGGTGTGTGGAGGGACCATTGAGAGAATAGGTGGAGTGACCAGCACGCCCCTGTGTGCTCAGGGCTCTTCTGGTTTCAGCTCTGTGTCCCAGGACATCCCTCAGTCCTGGGCAGACTGGTGGGAGAGTTAGGCAGGGACAGGGTCCGAACCTGGGGCCACCAACCCCCAAAGACAGGAGCCCCAGGAGCCACCGGGGCCCAGGGGTGGGGAGTGTGGTGTGGCTGAGCCTCCCCCGTCCTCCCACCCCAGGTGGCCATCATCGCGGGGAACTTTGAGCTGGCGGAGGTCATCAAGACCCACAAAGACTCGGATGTTGGTGAGTTCTGCCCACCCCAGGTCCAAGTTGAAGGTGGGTTTGTGGGGGTTGTCTGGGGTCAGTGGGAACGTGACAAGGGAGCCCTCATGCCCTGAGCTTCTTCTTCCAGCCCTGGCTGCCAGCTGTGCTCTGTTCTGTGAGTCCATCTGTGGCCCCTGCAGGGCTGGGGAATGGGCTGAGGGGAGGGAAGGGCCTGTGCAGAGTGGACAAAGGTCAATGTCAAGGTCAAGGGCATGGTTTTGTTGGGGCTGTTGGTTGGGGCCAGTGCTGGGTTTAGGGATCCTCTGAGGTTGAGAGGGGCTTGAAATTAGGGTCAAGGCTCGATTTCCCATTAGGTCAAGTGTAGGGCTAGCCGGGGGTATGGGACAGTGGCTGTGAGCCCCTGCCCACAGCAAGAATGAGCTTCAATGACAGGGTCACCCTCCCATACAGAGTCACATCAGTGTGATGCAAGCACACAGGGATGAGGTGCTGTCCTCAGGGCCAGATGTGTGAGTGACTTGTGGTCCCAGAAAAAAAACCAGACATGCCATCTAGTCTCGACTCCAGGGCAGGCAGGAGCACGGGGCACCGCCTCACATGTAGCCGCAGGGAGGTCCCCTCCCCCCAGTCCCTGGGGCTGTGGGCTGGTCTGAGATCTGTCCTAGGAACCCTGCTATCCTTCTCTGGGGTGGGGAGCCTGGAGCCGCAGGAATGGGTGGGCCTCCTCTTCAAGGAAGAGTATTTTCTGGCCAGAGGCCACCCCTCCAGGTACCTGGCCACATCGTGGCTTCCTTTTTGGCTCCCCTGTGTCCTGGTTGGCCCGGCTTTTCTGCCGTGGCTCTCTCTGGAACACAGACTCCCAGGCTCCCCTTTCTGCCCTGAGTAACAATGAATAGCAGAGAGCCAGGGCGGGTCTTAGGGCTAGGGCCCTTCTCGGTTGTAATGTAAGGTTACTACTGTCAGATCTGGGGTTGAATTTTGGACTGGGGTTGAGATTAAGGCCAAGTTCACCTTTAAGGACCTTTCTCTATAGCAGTGATGGCGAACCTTTTGAGCTCGGCGTGTCAGCATTTTGAAAAACCCTAACTTAACTCTGGGGCCGTGTCACATATAGAAATTTTTTGATATTTGCAACCATAGTAAAACAAAGACTTATATTTTTGATATTTATTTTATATATTTAAATGCCATTTAACAAAGAAAAATCAACCAAAAAAATGAGTTTGCGTGTCCCCTCTGACACGCGTGTCCCAGGTTTGCCATCACTGCTCTATAGGGTCTCCCCTGAGTAGACCTCTCAGTAGTAAGGCTCGCTTGTGGGCCCCTGATGCCCGAGCAGGGCCGGGACCGTAGAAATGGGTGGTAGGTCCTGGGTGTGGGCGGGTCCAGGGCAGCAGCGTCTGTCTGCTGAGTGAAGTGGTGTCGGGTTGGGCTCTGGCTGACAGAGCTGTGCTGAGGTTGGAGGTGTGTTGGGCAGGAGACGTCTCGGTCTGGCTGGGCTCGAGCTTGCAGGGGTTGTCAGCCTGGGAAGATCTGGGTCCGAGTACGTGTGGGGTCTCTCTTCTGCTTGTGGTCCTCTAACTGTGGGAAAGCTGCTTAGGGCCTCTGTGCCTCCATTTCTCTTAAGCAAAAATGGTCTTTTACGATTATTTGCACCCACTTCTCACCTCTGACCTCATGTGGGATTCGGTTCTGTGGGTCTGGACTCTGTCCGTGGCCTCAGTCCAGCTGACTGAGGGGAGGAGGCTTGCCTGAGCCAAGCTGAGCAGCAGGAGGGCCCCAGCTGCCTCTCATGTTTGTGGCGTGGACAGAGATGCTCGGGCTCCTGGGGCACCATCATGGCAGCTGACTGCCTGGCCGGCCCAGGGTGCGCTCTCTGGTTGGGGTTAGAAGTGCCGTAGGTGGGTCCAGGTATGGGGCCAGCATCCAAGTCACTTAGGCCGGTGGTGATTGGCTCTGTGGCCGCTCACCTGTTTCTGCTCACTTGTCACATATACACTTAGAGGATACAGCCTGATGTCCCTGAGCCACAGGCAAATGTAGTCATGAGTATTTATTATAAACCCTGTTGTTATCTAGCTTAGCTTCTCAGCAACCCACCCTCCATGAGTGATTGTTAGTTCATGATTCCCGAGGGAGAAACTGAGTCACAGCCGGTTAACGGCAGAGCCTGTCTTCAGACCCGGACCATCCAGGGGTCTGTCCTCCCCACTTCCTCTGCACACATTCACTCCAAGGACACTCCCTCAGTGACAGATGCAAGTTGCCATGTCCATCCCAGCTCTTGAACCTGGGTGGGGCCTGCACACAGAGGAGCTGGAGGAAGCTCTGCCCATCTACCCCTTCCTCTTCCTCAGGGAAGGAGCCCACCTGCAGGGGTCTGCCAGGCTGGGACCTGTCACCCTCAGGGGACAGGACACTTGGGGCCTCCTGGCAGCTCCACCTGCCCCTCTAGACTGCCAGGCCTGGAACAAGACCCTGGCCTAGGAGCAGCCATCTTCAGACCCACGTCCCCCAACAACCCACGCACACACTCAAGCCCGTGTCCACACGGACTTGTGTCTGGAAGTGCTCTGAAGGTGCACGAGGGAGGCCCCCACCCACTCTCATGTCACATCTTCTCACCTGATCACATCTTCTCACCTGATCACATCTGACTCAGTGGACCTGGATGGAGCCTGAGATTCCGAATTTCTAAGGAGCTCCAGCTCAAGGTGAGCCTGCTGGTCCATGGCCCACACTTCTGTCACAGGAGTCTAGAATAGGGCTTGGCAAACGATGCCTTGCAGGCCAAATCCAGCTCCAGTCAGCATTTTTTGTTTTTAAATTCAGGCTTTAAAATTGAGGATTTAAATTTCATTTAAAATTAAATTCACATAACATAAAATTAACTATTTTAAATTGAATAATTCAATGATATTTAGTACATTCACAATGTTGTACAACCAATTCTATTGAATTCCAAAACATTTTCATCACCCCAAAGAAAACCCTATATAACTAAGCAATTATTCCACATTCCCCTCTTTCAACCCATGTCAGTCACTAATATATTTTCTGCCTGTATGGATTTACCATTCTAGATATTTCATATAAATAGAATCAGACTATGTAACTCTTGTCTGGCTTCTTTTTGCTCAACACATTTTCAAGCTTTATTCAGATTGTAGAGTGCCTCACTGTTTCATTCCTTTTTATGGCTGAATAATATTTTTTTATTTGTATATATGACATCTTGTTTATCCATTCATCCATAGGTGGACACTTGGGTTGTTTCTACCTTTTGGCTATGAACATGTGTGAAAAGTATTTGCTTGAGTACCTGTTTTCAGTTGTTTTGGGGTACATACTTAGGAGTAGAATTGCTGGATCATATGTTAATTCTGCATTTAACTTTTTGAGGAACAGCCAAATTGTTTTCCACCATTTTATAATTCCACCAGGAATGTGTGAGGGTTCTAAATTCTTCAGGTCCTCACCAAAACATGTTCTTGTCATTTTTTAAAAAAATATGGCTATTCTAGTCTGAGCGAAGTGACATCTCATCGTGGTTTTCCAGTTGCATTTCCCTGATGCCTGATGATGCTGAGCATCTTTTCATGGGCTTATTGGCCACTTGTACTCTTCTTTGGAGAAGTGTTTGTTCAAGTCCTTTGCCCAGTTTTTAATTACTCATAGAATGAGTTAGGAAGTGTTCCTTCCTCTTCCATTTTTAGGAAGAGTTTGAGAAGAATTGGTGTTAATTCTTTAAATATTTGGAAGAAGCAATCAATAATGCTATCTGATGCTGGACTTTTCTTTGTTGGGAGATTTGTGATTACTGATTCAATCTCTTGGCTTGTTATAGGCCTGTTTAGATTTTCTCTTTCTTCTGGAGTCAGTTTTGGAAATTTGTCCATCTCGTCTAGCTTATCTAATTTGTTGGCATATAGTATTCTCTCACATTCCTTTTGAATTCTCTAAGATTGGCATAACGCCTCATATTTCATTTCTGATTTTAGTTACATGTGTCCATCTTTTCTTTTTTTCTTAGTCAGTCTAGCTAAGGTTTGTTCAATTTTGTTGATATTTTCAAAGAAATAGCTTTGGTTTCATTGATTCTCTCTGTATATCTAGTCTTTATTTCGTTTATCTCTGTCCAACCTTTATTATTTCTTTCCTTCTGCTAGCTTTGGGTTTGGTTTGCGTCTTTTTTTCTAGTTCCTTAAGATACGTAATTAAGATATTGATTTTTGAGATTTCTGTCCTTTTTAAACATAGGTGTTTTCAGCTATAAATTTTCCTCATAGTATAGCTTTTGCCGAATCTCATAAGTTTTGGTATGCTGTATTTTTGTTTTCGTTTTCACAAAGTATATACTAATTTTCCTTCCGATTTCTATTTTGACACATTGGATGTTTAAGATTGTGTTGTTTCATTTTCACATATTTGTGAAATTTCCTTTTTTCCCCTGTATTTGATTTCTAGTTTTATTGTGATTGGAGAAGATACTGTGTATGATTTCAGTGTTATAAAATTCATTGAGACTTGCTTTGGTCTGTCCTGAGGAATGTTCCACGTGCATTTGAGAAGAATGTGTGTTCTGCTGTTTTGTGGAGTGTCCCCTGCCCTCCCCCCTGTTTTTCTCCATATATGTGTATATCTTGTTAGGTCTGTTGGTTCAAGTCTTTTATGTCCTTATTGATCTTCTCTCTAGATGTTCTATCCATTATTGAAAGTGAGGTGTTAAAGTCTTAAGTATTATTATAGAACTATCTATTTCTCCAAATGTGTCAATGTTTATTTCCTATTTTTGTTTGATACTCTGTTTGATGAATATATGTTAATAATTGTTAATCTATTTATGAATTGACACTTTTATCAACATAATGTCCTCTGTCTCTTGTAACACTTTTTATCTTTAAGTCTATTTTGTCTGATATGAATATAGCTACTTAGCTCTCTTTTGGTTTCTGTTTACATGAAATATCTTCTTTTATCTTTTTACTTTAAACCTGCTTGTGTCTTTGGATCTGAGGTAATTCTTTTGTAAATAGCATATAGTTGGACCATGTTTTCCGAATCCTCATCTGCTTTTTAAATAAAGTTTTATTGGAACTCAGCCACAGCCCATTTGCTTCTATATGTTTGTGGCTATTTTTGTGCTGCGGCGGCGGCAGTGTTGGGTCCTGCAACAGAGGCTGTGTGGCTTACGAAGCTTGAAAGGGCGACTGGTTCTGGACAGGAGTTTGCCAGCCCCGGTCTAGACGCTCCCTCACAGCCTCCTGGGCGGAGCAGCTCCACGGCCCGCACAGCAGGGCCTGGTGAGAGTTGTCCCCAGACATGTGGCCTGGCCCGCCTCCCCTGAAACGAGCAGTTCTAAGACCTCGCCTGGCCACAGGAAGACCAGACTCTGCCCCTGAAGCTCCAATTGCAGGCAGTTTGGAACGTGACCCAGTGGTAGCTTCGGGGTGGCCAACTCTCCTGGTTTGCCTGGGACGGAGGCAGTTCCTGGGACACAGGACTTTAGTTCTAAAATCTGAAAGCCTGGGCAAACCAGGACAAGTTGGCCACCCCATCTGGCTGCCCAGAGCCTCACCTATGTGCCCCCCGCCCCCAGTACCATTTAGGGAAACCCCCAGCTATGCAAAGCGGCGGCGGCTGGCTGGCCCCAGTGGCTTGGCCTCCCCACGGCCCCTGCAGCGCTCAGCCAGTGACATCAACCTGAAGGGCGAGGTGCAGCCGGCAGCCTCCCCGGGACCCACGCTGCGCAGCCTCCCCCACCAGCTGCTGCTCCAGCGGCTGCAGGAGAAAGACCGGGACCGTGATGGTGACAAAGAGAACGACGTCGGTGGCACTGAAGCAGGCAGGGGCAGCCAGAGCAACATCAGGTAGGAGGGTACGGGAGGCCCTGGCAGGGTCTGGGTTGGTGGGTGCCAGGACCCAAGCTGGGAGGAGCCAGCATGGGGGCGGGCAGGGAGAGGTCGACGGTGTCTAGCACCTGGTGGGCTGAGGCTTGGGGTGGGGGATGGATCTCCCTGGATGAGGAAGGGAGAAGGTGAGGCCCTGTGGGCCGGGGCAGCTCCCCCACGTTCCTCTCTGGTGGGAACTGGACTTCCTCTGAGGACAGTGGGCAGCTGAGGGAGCATACAGGGAGGAGAGGTCTGATCAGACCTGTGGTTTAGAAAGGGTCCTGCCATACCAGGAAGGAGGGCTAGGTGGTGAGGGGTAGGGGTTATGGCTTCCGCTCCAGGAGAGCTTGAAACCTGCAGGTGGTCCTTAGCCCTGTCTCCAAGGGGAATCTTCATCTTTCTACCACCTCTCCAGCCAGGACACCGTGGTTCTTCTCTTTACCCTTTACTGTGAGCGGTGGGACCCTGAGAACAGGGGCATATGAGGCACTTGGCATCCCCAGGACACAGGACAGACACCTGGCTAGAGCCCCGCTGGCCGTTGCTGGCTGTGCAGTGGGGAGTGAGTGGGGCACTGGCTCTGCAGACAGATGGCTGGGGTCCAGGCAGTCCTTGCACCTGCTGACCATAGGCTTGGACAGGTCAGCCAACCCCTCTGTGCCCGGGTTCTCATCAGTAAGGTAGGACTAATCCTACCTAAGTCATTTCCTTCTGGAAGCCTTCTGAATCTGGGCAGGTGAAGGGTCCCTATGAGAAGCCCCTGGCCCACAGTGCCGGCCAGCCGCCGCTGGTTAAGGCATCTCTCCTTCCTGCACCTCCAGGGCAGGAGCCATCGTTCCTTTTTTTTAAAATCCTCATCGGAGGACATATTTTTATTGATTTTATAGAAAAAGGAAGATAGAGAAAAACATCGATGTGAGAGAGAAACATTGATTGGTTGCCTCCCGTACGCACCCAACCCAAGATGGAACTCGCAACCTAGGTATGTGCCCTGACTGTAATCGAACCTGCAACCTTCTGGTGTACGGGATGATGCTCCAAACAACTGAGCCAGCCACACTGGCCAGGTCAGGAGCCATTGTTCTAGCTTCCCAGTTTCCCCAGAGCGGGTCGTAGGGGAGGTGCTGGGGAGACACTGTTGAGTGTGTCACACAAACAGCTCTGTTTTCACAATGACAGCTGGGCTGCATCGTCTAGCTCAGCGGTTCTCAACCTGGGGTCGCGACCCCTTTGGCGGTCGAACGACCCTTTCACAGGGGTCGCTTAAGACCATCCTGCATATCAGATATTTACATTATGATTCTTAACAGTAGCAACATTACAGTTATGAAGTAGCAACGAAAATAATTTTATGGTTGGGTCACAACACGAGGGACTGTATTTAAAGGGCCAGAAGGTTGAGAACCACTGGTCTAGCTTAACCTTGACCCTGCCCAAGGCTGTTCTCTGTCAGTGCCGTTTTATGGATGAGGGTCCTGACACTCGGGTGGGGTAGGTGATCTGTCCAAAGTCACAGAGCTAGGAAGCAGGTAGATCCGATTCCCAAACTTCTAAGCCGGTGCTCTGCAGAGGGCTTGGGGTGCATCAGGAGCTTATAAAACCCACTTTATCACCTGTCATTCTCCTTGCTCGTGTAGCCTTGATTTGTGATGTCTTCTCTCTCTGCGTCCTTGCCCAGACTCCAAGGCTGCCTGTCCTGCCCCAAATCATCTCAGTTCTCCCTGAAGCTTTTGCATGTCCCGTGGATTTTTTTTTAAGGGTGGGACAGTCCAGTGGCTAAAACGGGGGTGGGGAATGTCCAGCCCATGGGCGGTATAAGGCCCGTGAAATCATTGGGTCTGGCCCTGCCAAGGCATTGGGGGTGAGTTAATGAAATGTTTGACCAAATACAGCAGGCTCATTTTTAAGTTGATAATTTTGTATGGCCCGTGAATGATGTTATAAATATCCAAATGGTTCTTGGCAGAAAGAAGGTTCCCCACCCCTGGGCTGAAAGAACAAACTTGTGGGTGTTTCCGTTTTGCAGAGGGTCGTTCCTGCTTGGAGCTGTGTGGATGCCCTGCTTTCATTCTTTTGTATGTTCCTTCGCCTTTTAGCAAACGCAAAAGCAAGACCTGCTCTGTGTGGGGCGCCAGCTCACTGCTCTGTGGGGGACGCCAGAATTATCAGTATTATTTTTCTAAACATTTAGTTGGTACCTAGGGTGCTGGAAGTGGTGGGAGCTAGTAGCAGGAGGTCCTGAAGGTCTTGGAAGGACAGTGACAGCAAGGGCCCAGGGTTAAGAAGCAGTGAGGTGGGCAGAGACCAAATAAGGGGGCTGTCCTGTGAGTGGCCAGGAGGGGGCTGAAGAAGTTTGGTGAACCTGGAGGGAGAGGGTCTCTGAGGGGGGTCACCTTTGGTCCAAGGAGAGAAAGTGGCATTTGAGCTGAGATGGGGTGGGGTGGGTGGTGGAGGGAGGTGGTGGCTCCCTGGCGCCCCATGTTGGCAGAGCCTGGAAGGGAGTCCCTAGCCCCCCCACCCCCCACCCCCCAAGAGATCGCACCAGCATCACAGGGCAGAGGAAAGTGGGGTTGTGGCTGAGAGACAGTAGCAAGGGCTGGAGTAGCTTGATTAGAATATTGAGGTGTTGGAAATGCCATCATAAATATCCCAGAGGAGGGAAAGGAAGGTATCCATGTGTGTGGCTGGGCTGTGGCCACTTCTCAGTCCCAGAGCTACTGGTTGAGGATGTGGGTCCGGCCTAGGTACTAGGGAGCCAGCGCAGGCTTTTGAGCAGGAGGTGGAGGACCCAGGCCTCAGGTTCGGTGCCCAGCGGGGGACAGCAGTCGCGGTAGCTGGTCAGCACCAGTGTGCATGGGCCTCAGGGGCAGGTGTCCAAGGAGTAGAGGACCCAGGTGGAGAGGGATTAAGGCGCCCGATGCATGACAGCCAGCGGTCAGGGTGTGAGGA